TGTGAAAATAGATCATCAATAAAAACTATATAAACTATATGAAAATTTGAAACTTCCAGAAGTGTGACCTCACTCCTAAACCTCCTTAGTTCATACCTGCTCATAAGTCCTAATAAGAAAACTATTATAATCAAATCAACCAAGAACAAGTATTATAGGAAAGCTCTAGTTCAACTAAACCTTATTCTTCCACTAGCCGATTTCATGGCATATGTAATGAATTGGATTAGCCTGCATTTTTCATTAGCCCACTTTCCAAAACCAAACAGCATATGAAAGAAAATAACACATAATCAGACAACACATGAATATTACTCAAAATGTGAAGCACTGACATGTAACAGTTAACAAAAGTTCGTTGAGGTTATGATTCTTGACTTGTCCGAGAACACATTATTTATCACTAAGCTAAAGTTCAAAACTAGACAACATACCATGTTGTCACATTAGAGTTTTCTCAGTTAATCCTACAAGTAAAGAAAAAACTTGTTCCGAAAATGAAGTTAAGCAGTAAACAAAACCACTCAACGTCCTCTTGCAGCATATGCAACAGTAATGGCAGCCAAAAGTGTTGTTGCAGAAGACACCAAAGTCCAGAAACTCTTCTTCTTTTGTGTTTCCACCATGGATTTCTCCGTTAACTTAACTTTCTGCCTCAAGTCTTGAGCCACCGTCTCTTTGTTTTCGAATGCCTTTTTGATTGCCTCCAATTCCATTGCATATGCTCCGATTTCATCTTCTTCGATCAATTTCTGATCGTTTTCATCTTTAGATTGACATAACAGGGAGGCAGTGCTCGTCAAAAGGGTAAATGCGCGCTCGTGATTTCTGGTGGTTGATTCCATTTTAGCTTTCAACTCTTTGAAACTTCTATTTGCCTCCAAAAGTTCCTCATGCAACCTATCTTTATCTTCAGCCATTGATCCAATTAGTCTCCCCGTCTCTTCCTTTTCGTCGATTAGGTTCTGCCATTCGGTCCTCTTCTGTGCCAGCTCTTCCGCAGTTTTCCTGAGCTCATTCTCCATTTCTGAAACTTTCGATCTCAAGTTAACACCAGTATGCATCTCCTCATCGAGTTGTTTCAAAGCATCATCCTTCTCAAGTGTTACCTGATCAACTAAATCTCTAAAACAGCCAACTTCGGAAATCAATTCATTGTTCTTCTTTCGATGATCCAAGCATTCCTCTTGCAGCCTCTGCACAACATTCCTCAGCTCACTCACTTCATTGTGTAACTCGATATTTTCATTCTCACCACTGTTTTTGGCCTTTTCAATCTCGGTTTTATCTCCAGACAATTCCTCAATCTTCTTATGCATATCCTTTAATTCCTTCTCATTCATTTCCAACACTCTTCTAGCTGCAGCACTTTCCTCCTCCAACTTCTCAATTCTTCTCTGTCTATCCTCCGACTCCACCTCTATCGCCTCCAATGATCTCGACATGAAATCCTTTTCCTCCATTAACCTCTCAATACTCCTTTCTTTTCCCGTCTTCTCTTCCACTAATGCACCCAACTCTATAGCTCTTTCAGCCTCCCGTTCCATTGCTTCACGGTAATTCTTTTCCAACTCGAAAATCTTTGAATTCAAAAACTCATTTTCCTTCCTGAAACTCAATATAAATTCATTCATTTCCCTCGTTTCCATTTCCATCTTACAAATTTTCAGTTTTTGCTCATTCTTCTCAACCTCAATATCTTTCTTCTCACTCGCAATCTTTTCATTCTCCCTTCTCAAATTCCCAACTTCCTCGGCCACATCCTTCATTCTTTTCTCCCACAAATCTTTATCTTTCATTACCAAAATCTTCACTTTCTCCAACTCCCTTGTCTCCCAAACCAGCCTATCATATTCCTCTTTAAGTTTCCTAATTTCTTCCACAAATTTCCTCTCGTTTCCCTCCATTTCCATCAGCTTCTCTTTCATCAACTTACCCTCAGTCACTTGGAACTCAAAATCTTTCCTTTCCGAATCTCTTTCTTTGCAAACCAAACTCAACCTTTCGCTCTCATTTTCAAGAGTCTCCATCAATCCATTCACCTTTGTTTTCAAGGCCCCAATCATCTTTTCCATCTCGAACCCATGTTCCTCCATTTGAGTCCACATATAAACCGAAAACAACTCATTTTGCAACTCAAAGCTCACATCTTTCTCACTCTCCTCAGCTTCAAGTTTCTTCTTTTCACCCAACTCGGCCACCAGAGCTTTCTTGGCTTGAACCAAGGATTCGATCATTTGCCTACTTTCACAGACCTCATTGACAAGTAAAGTGTTGAGAGACCTCATATTTTGGAGCTTCTCCTCGGGATCTTCCATGGAAGATTGACGGCTCAAAGGATTGGAAGATTTTGTAAAGGTTGAATCTTTGGAAGGGTCATGGGTTTCTTGAGATGGATTTTGATGCTTGGGGTCATTGGGTTGAGGGGTAACTTTCCTTTTGCCCATTCTTGGAAGCACTGGAGACGGGACTGGGATTTTGGAAGTTGGGTTTTGCTAGGGTTTTCTTTACGGTGGAGAACCGAAATCGACTGTTGAAACAGGACATATGATACGTAGAAAAAGGAGGGAGGGTAAGGGCTAGTTTTGAGATTCAAATTTTGGGCCCAAATCTCAAGGTTTCAAATAATAAAATATTTTATGGGGTTTAGGGTTTGGTGACCAACGATGTTTATACATTAAATAGACTGATCTCTTTAAAAAGAAAATGATATGGTATTATTTATTTCAAAAGTGAATAATTATTTTTATTGCAAAAGTGAATAATTAAAGACTTCAATTAATCATAGAATTAATATTTTACATTAATATTATAGAGTTTTAGTTAAGATAATAATAAATTTGATTCTTAATGTTTATACGTTATATTAATTTGATTTTGATTAAAATAAATAAATTTAACTCCTCAATATTTATAAAATGTGTAAATTATGTCACTTTTTAAAATTAAAATTAAATTGATATAATGTATAAATTTTAAAAATTATACTTATATTATTTCAATCAGAATTATATAAAAGTAACAAAAGACATTGAAGCTACGATTAACTATCATTAGTTGCTTATTTTTTTAGATTGATAGGAACTAAATTGGTCTTTTCACAGGACCAATTTGTCCAATTTTAAAAATAAGAGAGATCTAAAAAGATTTAATCGAACTTATGAAACTTTAATTTTAATTTAATTGCATACATTTTAAAAAGTCCAATTATATCCTTAATAAGAATATAATTGGAAACCTTAAATTTAACGTGAATTTAGTTGTTATTCTTAGAGGTCACGGGTTCAAGCATCAGTAATTGCAGCAGGGTGATTGAGCGGTCAATATCAAATGATTTAGAGTATTTAGAACATATATTACTTTATAATCACCTTAGCTTAATAAAACAAATGTGGATGTAGCTGTGCAGGGTAGTTTTGGTGACGTTGGTATTGTACCTCCCAAATTCACTAGTTTAATTATATTTTAGTACCCTTTTAGTTTTAAAATAAAATTTTGAATTCTAACTTTTTGGTTTAATTATAGTTTAAGACCCTTTAATTCAAAAATTAGTGAAATTAAATTATAACTTCTTTAAATTTTATCGTTTATTCAATTTTAAAGAATCTATTTATTTCAAAGTTGAACAATTTGTCCCCTCATAGTTCAATCAATGCCCCATTCATGTATGTAAAGAATCGATTGTGTTGTATTGGTGTTTTTTGTATATTACAGTTAGTGTGTTCTCGTTTTCAACATTGGTACGTTACACTCTTTTTCTTCCAAACTATTGTAAGAAAGTTTTTAATGAGACATTTATCAATATATCAATTTGGATGAGTTCTCCTTTATTAATCATAAAAAAAACAAAATTTTTTTATGATTAATAAATAAACATGGTTCCTATATCATAATTAGGAGTGAGTGTTCGATCGAGTCTAGTAAAAAAATTTTGAGTTAATCGAGTTGACGAGTCCTATTTTACAATTCGGAGTTGACTTGAAAATTTTTCGAGTCAAGTCGAGTCGAGTCAATTTTTCGAGTTTATGTGTAAATTTAATTGTAAATATTTATAATATTATAATATTATTTGATTCCAATTTAAGTGACTTTCTATAATCATATATATACAAATATGTTTCTTTATATTTTTTTCATTTGTATATACATATATCATACAAAGTCGAAAGACTTGACTCAAACTAAAAAAATAAATCTATTAATTTTTAAATGTTTTGAGTTATTCAAGTTGTATTTTACAACTCGATTTGAAATTAAAAAAAAATCGAGTCTAATTGAGTTGAGTTTTCCTCACCCCTAATCATAAGGATGTTAATTTTTGACGGGAAATGAAATAAAAATAAAATTTCATATATACAAACTCATTAAATAAAAATCTATATAACACATTATTTATTTGATTAAAATTATGTTTAATTTCAAAATTTATTTGTATAAGTTTTGTTTTGGTTATTATCAGTTAATTTTTCGTTATCTTTTAAATAATTTTCTGTACGGACGGCATAAACAAAGATATCTTATTAGAACAATAACGCTTGGTAATAACGCAGAATCAGTATAACCAGGGGTGAGGCGTCAAGTTCCTCCAAGTTGTGACGTTTATGTATCAAAGTAACAGAGAATTTGGAGAATTATTTATCAAAGTTATATTGAGTAAAGAATTATTTATATATATATATATATATATATATATATTTAATTTTTTTTTTAAATATGTCTCGGAATTAAAAATCGTAAATTATATTTTATATTAACAATGTATCATGCAAGTTTCAACGAAAATACGTAAAAAGAAGAAAAAGTAAAGAATGGACGACCTACCTGTTTCGGAACATTATACAGACTAATTGGATTAGGCAAATGTCACATCTGTATGGCATCTGCTGTTTTTTCTTGTGGAAAATGAATTAGGCCATAAATAAACGAATCCATGACGCTTTGTCTCTGATGAAAACGCCACACATGTAAGCTTACACTCGGTGTTCCACCCAATCTAACCAAATTCTTCACTTCAATGGCCTCCTTTTTTTTTCATTTTTACTATAAAAACCATAACGCATGAAATATATGATCCCAGAAAACAAGTTCGACTTGACTCATCCATGGCGAGCATCAAACTAGTCCCACAATCCGCCCACAAGGCCCTGCCGTTCTCCGCTAACCTCGCAAACCTCCTTCCGACCGGCACCGTTTTCGCATTCCAAGCCATCATACCCTCCTTCTCCAACAGTGGAAGATGCGAACTGGCTCACAAATACATGACTTTAGGACTAATTATTGTATGTTCGGTCTCTTGCTTCTTATCTTCTTTCACCGACAGTTTCGTAGGCAACGACGGCAAGCTTTATTACGGTATCGCCACCATCAACGGACTTTGGGTTTTCAACGACGACGTCGATGACGGTCTCGATCTGGAAAATGACGAAAAAGAAGCCGAGAAAATATTCAACAAGTATAAGCTCACCGCCATTGATTTTCTTCATGCATGTTGTTCTTTGACTTTGTTTTTGGTCATTGCTTGCAGTAGCTTTGAGGTTCAACGCTGCTTTTTTCCTAAACCTGGACCCAATGGTAATGCATTGATGACAAACCTGCCATTAGGGGTCGGGATCTTAGCCAGTGGATTGTTCGTACTTTTCCCGACGAAACGACGTGGTATTGGTTATGGTGATAACCCTGATCATGGCGATGGAAAAGAAGAGAAACAGATTGAGGAGATAGGCCCCAAGGTTCCCCTCCCCAACCCAAAATGAATTACATGTCTACTAAAGAACTGAAACCACAATAACAATTGTAAAATAATGGTTCTATATGGCGTAATATATGTGTGTGCTGCTAAGCAGTAGCAGAAATATTATGCGAAAAAGTTTAGTAAAATAAGTTAATACTGCAAAAGGTAAAATTGATGAACCATTGTAAAACTATCTTAATTGGTTTAATACCCCGAGATTAACATGTTCTTTCAAATGTCGTAGGTATGATATTTAAAGTGTAAATCCATGACATCGCTCTTATCAGAATAGGAGAAGGTTTTTTTTCTTAATTCATCAGAAAAGATCAATAAAGCATTGAGGAGAAAAAAAGCTCAAAACACTCTGAGACAATGAGAGATTTTGATTGTTTTGTTATATAAATACACAAGAGTTTTAAAAAAAAAATATTTTCGATAATAATTTTCGATAAAAATGAGAAGAACAATAACGAAATTAGACGCTTAAGTAATAATGAACGTATCTTGAACTAATACATAGTAAAATGAACAGTTATTCTCTTAAATAAGTGAACGAATCTAGAATTTGTTAAGATAGGAGTAAACTCATAACACACAATTGATTTTATTCATCCACTAGAATCCGGGATAAAGCAACAAAACAATCAGTACTCCTCAAGATGCCGGTAAGTGTTCTAGAAAAGAAACCCAATGTTATTCATAGAAATTGACTACTCCTTGACATTTACGTGTGTAATTCCATCAAGTCTATATCAACATAGACCACAAGAATCAGGAATTTAAAATCATTAATAACTTTTTTTTATAAGCTCAACATCTCAAATAGATAAGATGAATTCGTTAAGTTCTTTTTACAAATAACTACTCAACCTTTGAGATATGAATTCATTAAGAATAAGAACTCAATCTTAAATTCATCAAGTTCTTCTTACTAAGATCACTCAAACAATCTAGGATATGAATTCACTGAAAATACTTATTCATCCTTTATGTCTGTAAATTCATCAAGTCATTCTCATTAGGACCACCCAAATTTTGGGATATGAATTTATAAAGAGCGAAGTTTCAACATACTGCAATTACATTTTTCGTCATATAGACAAGAAAGAATGTACACTGTGAGTCTTTTCATAACTTAGTTTGACACTTGAAACTTATAAACTAAGGTGAGTATTCACTATGAATTTCACAACCAATAGACTTGAGGCTCATCCCTTCGATGAATATGAAATTAAATTTCTCTTTAACCCTTTGGTAAGTGGATCAACAAAATTCCTTTCCGAACTCACATATTCTAAAGAAAGCATTATGTTCCTTATTAAATGTCTTACATATTGATGTCTTACACGAATGTGTCTTTTTTCACTGTTGTATACTTCACTCCAAGCTACACAAATTGCTTGTGAATCACATAATATGGACATCAAAAGATTCAATTTTCCACATAAAGGAATTTTTGCCATCAAATTCTTGAGCCAATCGACTTCTTGTCTATCTAGATCGAGAAAAACAAATTTTGACTCTATAGTAGAGCGAGTAATATGTGTCTGCTTCGTAAACTTCCACTAAATAATTGCTCCGCTTAAAGTGAAGTTATGCCATTAAGAGCATATTTATGTTTTAATGACCAAAACAATATAAGAATAAAATTAAGTTGTGAAATTTATAATTTACTCTGTTATTATACTTGTAAGAGGTGAATTCTAGATTGAAGAAATAAAAAAAAATTCAACCGAATCAGTTTTTTATGGTAAGGTAGAGGGTTGGACCTAGCTATAGATATAACAATGACAAATGTATTTGGCTACCGGGATAATTGGCTCGACAGATTTGGTGAAGATAGATTTTGAACCAAATTTTAAAGGAAATAAAGAATAATACACCCCTAGTAACACAAAAATTCAATTTATTTGAAAATAAGAGATATTCATAAGGGTACATGGGCCTAAAACAAACTACACTAAATTGACACTAAAGATTGAAAGTGAAATAAAAGGCCTTTATATGGAGGAGAAAAATTACAGTAGGCCAGTGGGAAAACAAAATGCTACATAACAATTGCTTCACTTCTGTGGCTATCTCATCCACTAAAATCAGCTTATAGTCATCTTCTACCTTCACACCGAGGGAGTAGAGAGCCGTTTGATCAATAGTTGTGACATTGAGATGTAGGACACTGAGACCCATACTATTCATGTTGGGAAATAAAACGAGTAATTTCCCTATAACCAGATTAGTGAGAATGCGAAATAAAAGTGGAAAAATAATACTTGAAATTGATAACGGAGTTAAGCCAATTATGCCTACGTCTCCAGACTGCTGCAGATCTTTTACTAAAGAGATAAAATTTACATGTGTTTACAAAACACTCACAACTCACAAGAAAACTCTCTAAACTCTTTAGTATTTGGAGAAATAATTGATTTGGGATGATTTTGAAGCTAAATGGTTTAGGGTATTTATAGTTGAAGTTTAAGGACTAATCTTGAAAATACCCTAAAGTACAAAGACTAAAATTTACGATTATCCTATTACCAAAAATCAACAAAATCAACCCCCTTTTTACTTCACCATTTCGGTGCCTCATTGTTTGACAAATGCAATGTGCAGTGCCTCATTGTTTGACAAATGTCATGTGAAAGCATGACTTTCAACAATCTCCCACTTAAAGACTGATTTTAATCTGTCTTCACACCTCGATCAATGCAACAACATTTCTGGTCTTGTTACTCTAGCATGCCAACTAAAGCTGAACACAACTTCAGTTTGTTCGTAGTTATCGTCTTTGTTAACATGTCTGTCGGATTTTGAGCTCCACTAATCTTTTCAAGTTTCAAAATCCCATCTTCCAAAATAGACCAGATAAAATGATATCGCAATTGTATATGCTTCGTCCTGGAATTAAAAGACGGATTCTTTGATAGATGGATAACACCTTGAATATCGCAATACAAGACATTGTTTTCTTGTTTCTTGCCTAACTCTTCCAAGAAACTTTGGAGCCAAACCATCTCCTTAATGGCTTCCGTAACAGTGACATATTCTGCTTCAGTTGTGGAGAGAGCAACTATCTTCTGTAGTTGAGAAACCCAACTCACTACAGTACCTCCTAGAGTATAGACATACCCCGTAGTGCTCATTCTGATGTCAATATTTCCGGTTAAGTCAGTATCTACATAGCATGTCAGTATCATATCTTCACCTTTGAAACAAAGTGCTTTGTTTGTGGTACCTCGCAGATATCTGAGGATCCATTTGACTGCTTCCCAATGTACTTTGCCTGGATTATTCATGTACCTGCTAACAGCTCTCACTGCTTGAGTAATATCTGGTATGGTACAAACCATAGCATACATCAGACTTTTAATTGCTGAGCCATATAGCACCTTCACCATATGTGCACGTTCTTCCTCTGTCTTTGGTGACTGTTATTTGGAGAGTCTAAAATGAACACCTAAAGGTGTACTTACTGGTTTAGCATCTTGCATGTTGAACCTGGAGAGTACTTTGTTGATGTACTCAGCCTGTGATAACATCAAAGTCCCCGACTTTGTGTCTCTCTTGATCCTCATCCCAAGAATCTATTTTGCAGTGCCCAGATCTTTCATTGCAAACTGCTTCGAAAATTTTTGCTTCAAGTTTATAATCTCTTGCATGTCTGAGCCTACAACGAGCATGTCATCAACATATAACAATAAAATAATGAAGTTGTTGTCGAACTTCTTGATGTAGCAATAATGATCTGCTTGGCATCTGGTAAAACCACTGCTACTCATGAAACTATCGAACTTCTTGTACCACTGTCTAGGAGCTTGTTTTAATCCATACAAGCTCTTCTTCAACCTGCATACCAGGTTTTTTTTTCATGCCTCTATGAAGCCTTCTGGTTGTCTCATATAGATTTCTTCCTCCAAATCACCATGAAGGAAAGCTGTCTTCACTTCTAACTACTCAAGATGTAGATTCTCTGTAGCTACAATTTTTAACATCAGTCTGATTGTAGAGAGCTTCACGACTGGAGAGAAAATTTCATTGTATTCAATACATTCTTTTTGTTGAAAACCTTTGATAACCAATCTTGCTTTGTAGTGTTTGCTCCCATCGTGCTCTTCTTTGATCTTGTAAATCCACTTGTTATGGAGCGCTTTCTTGCCTGGTGGTAATTCAGCTAATTCCCACATCTTATTTGACATAAGCGAGTCCATCTCATCTTTCATGGAAGACTCCCACTTGACTAAATCCTCCACCTGCATTGCTTCATCATAGTACTCTGGTTCACCATTTTCAGTCAATAACAAGTAGTGCAGAACGTGACATAAGTTTTTAGACTCGATTCGGGGCTTTCAGGTTAGAATTTGGCAAAACATACCACAAAATCAAACTCAGAGCATCGAAAAATATCAAGAGGGAGGTTTTAGAAAAAGGTCAACGCTGGTCAATAATCAACGATAGTGATTAAACGTGGTCAAACGACGTGATCAGTGATGCAGTACGGTGTGGTACAATGCAACTCGGTGAGACATGGCATAGCTCAACTCAGCTCGACCGATTCAGGTTGGCGCGGTTCGGCTTGACTGGATTGGTTTGGGTTAGGCTAGATCAAATTTGAGTTTAGGCTGACGAGTGCACGGGTTGGGTCAGATCAGATAGGTCTGGTAGGCAGATTGGGAAGGCAATTAATGTTCAGTGGTCGGGTCAGCGGGTCGATTTGACCCACTTCTAGAAACCCACCAAGCAGTGGCCCTTCTCTATTCTCAATGGCGACGTGTGGGGGGGCGCGTGTAGGGTGTTCTATCACCAAAAAGATTACAAAAAATTTTCAAAAAAATATTGAAGTATTTTAAGGCACTTACATAGCTCGTTTCACAACGGTGAATGACGGAAAGCCCGATTATACTTCGTCAGAAAATTGTTATCGCTCATTCTTCCTTATGCCGACGATATTGGTAACAAAACTGATATCGATTAACTCAAGACAACACAAGGAATCCAATGGTATGGCAGTGTCAATAACGGAGCTTCGATCGAAAGTGAAATGGCATTTAATGTTTATTGGCTTAAACTTGCTAAAAGAGAAAAGCTTGATGGGAGAGAGTTTTGTTTCCATAAATGGAAATTTTGGGTTTTGAGAGGGTTTTATACCCATCAAAAAGAAAATGGTATAATTATGCCATAAGTTCCTAAGCTTTTAAAACTTTTTGATTCGAGTACGAATTTAACTAAAGTTTCATTTTGG